TAATCAAAGTTCATTCAAAGTAGGAGTGTTGCAGGGCGTCGTAATTGAGGGGAGGCGTTTGACGCAATAAAGTCTACGGCAGCAGGAAAAGGCCGCAGCCGCAGTGCAAGAAACTGATGCTAAAATAAAAACGATAAGTGGAAGTGGTTTTGACATTTGACAATCGAGTGCGTAAATGAGGGAACATTAGAGCACAGGCTTGTTGATTATATCTTCAATCAAGGTTGGTGTTCCCGGATTTGTCAGATTTGTCAGTGATGACAAATTGAATAGTGGCAATGAGGAAATGCCATTTTCAACCCTCGGAAAGCTCTATGTTGGATGCCTATGCATCATGATGGCTTGTTGCTGATTAAATACTTTTACTGTGATTTAGCATTTTGAAAAAAATCAGTACTTAGTCCATGATGCAGTGATTCACTGATTGCCAGGTTTTCAGCATCACTACATCCCACGCTCTCACAGTCCTTCCAGCTCCGGCTCTCGGTACACGTTCTCTTTTATTTTCACTTTTTCCTCTGCCGTGAGCGTAACTGTAAAGGTTTTATAAATAAGTTTTGTCTTGCATGCTTTTTAAAATCCGTGATTGCTGAAACCAAACATGGTTTTGGCAGTTGATGTTCTTCTTGCCTCTCCTCGGGCCCAGATCAGGATTCATTTTGTATTTTTAGGGTAAAACTAATTAAAATTAATTGTCTGTCATACCTAAGTCACGAAGGACTTAACAGTGTCCTATGCTAGTGTCGGGAAATCTGTTTTAATATAGTTTCTATTGCTATGGGCTAGGGGTTTTGAAGTCAGTTTGGCAATCACCCTGCACTCAATTCCAAATTAAATACTGAATTATAGGTGCCTTGAACGTTAGTCCATAAAATGATTTTTAAAAACAACAACCTCGCCTCATTTCATACACTGTTCATCGTAACTTGTGCACACCCATACACCCCCTTCCTTCCCCACGCACATATATAGGCACATGCGAGAGCATGGCAACATGCACACAGACACACTCATACACACACACACACACATGTGCATTCACAAACACATTTTCAAAATATAACTACCCAATATCACGGAAAGTAAACGCGTTCGATGGGGCAACGATCATCTTTTTTTTCTTCTTCTTTGTCTTTGTACTACCTGATTTTGGGCCAATCTACCTGAAAATGACCCTGAATGTACCTGAAATGGGAATTTTAAGGTAGGCAGCCCTGTGGCATGTTAACCTCGACTCAAAGGTCAAAGACCCCCCGGGGCGGTGCCACTGACTGGAGTGTCTTTAGGCCATTCCCAAAGGGGGGACATTTCTGGTTCTAATGCACAGTAGAATTGACTTGTAAATGGGCTGATCCGACAATGTCATGCTCATAACTGCCTGAACTACAACAGGGAACTGCTGCTTTTTCTTTCCTAATCCTTACTTTCGTCGTTTTCGTCTACTTCTTTTGTATGTTTGTCACACTCTTGTAACCCGCTATTTCAGGGGTGGGTGCCTTGATAGTCGAAGCAGACTTTGTGCTGTTGAAGCTAGAGAGGTGAGCAGAGTTACAAGTGTGATTCCCTGTGAGGACTTCTCTGTTGACATCCACCCCTTGGCCCTCTTATGACCTATGCAGGTGCAAGCGCCGTAAAACTTCTACTAAAACAAACAACAAAGGTCAAAGGTTGTTTCTTTGCAGGGGACTGTAGAGGCCCCCAGTGCGTAGCGCTAGAGGGCTGTGCAGTCCTAACAACTTCCTTATTTTATTTAAATAACTATGTTAAATGTTATCATAAAAAATTATGTTTGATTTTGGAAGTCTTAGTGCTAGTGCGTCTAATTTTGGTTAGGCATCAGTGTCTGAGGTTGTCGAGTTTGTCATATTTTTCAAAGATCTTTAGTCAGTGGGTGCAATCACTATACTACCAGTACCATTACATTACCACTACAGTGACAAAGAACTGAAGGGCAGAGCTCGGAACCCGACATATGTAATGTAAGAAAACTGCCACTCATTGTTGAATAACTATGGTACTGGTAGTGAATTGAAAATATTTTAAGACAAATGTAAGGACAGTAGGGTTTCAAGTCTTAAAATGCCTTTGAACAGACTTGTTAGAAGCTATTTTAGCAATATGAATTTTGTTTTATATAAAGACCAATGGTGCCCTGAGATGAAAATCCTTCTTTTCGAGTTAAATCGTATACCAACAAGTTATGTTGGAGAGAGAGAGAGAGAGATATATATGTATTTTCTCTGCCTTGGACTCTTGTATATTTTTAAAAACATTTCAAAGTGGGGCTGAGGTGTATGGGGTATTAAAACACAATGACAACACCTTGGGTATAGGGATTTATTTCTTCTTTGTTCCACTGGTGGTTGTAATTTTTTGTTTTGTTTGAGGGGGAGGGGGGGTTGATTACAGGAGATAAGTATTGGTTCTTTTACACAGTCATTTACAGATTAAATCTTAATCAGTCTTTATTGTTTTTCAACTTCCACTCTAGTATTTCAATGATCAAAAGTCTGGAAAGCAAGCAACATCTCACAGCCCACCAAGATTCGACTCTTTAACTCCAATGTCAAGTCTGTGCTCCTCTCTGGCTGCGAAATTTGGAAGACAACAAAGACAGTACTGAATAAAGTCCAGACTTTCATCAACAGATGTATGGAGGAGTATCCTAAGAATTAAGTGGCTGGATAGAATAAGAAATGAAGAGCTGTGGGAAAGGACAGGACAAAAGGATATATATAGAAGTAGAAATAGGACTAAGAAAGTGGCGATGGATGGGACACACCCTTAGAGAGCCGAGCGGAAACATCACAAGACAGTCGCTGCGGTGGAACCCACAGGGAGAAAGGCAGGGTTAGGCCATGGGAAACATGGAGGAGATGTGTGGAAAGGGGCTTGAGAGAGATGAAGCTCACTTCGAATGAGCTTTGAAGGATGGCCCAAAACAGAGATAAATGGAAGGAGCTTGTATGTGGCCTATACCCTGCCAGGGGTGAAACTCATTGCTGATGACTGTAGTAACGGAGAATAGTCCTACTTCAGCCAAAGTCACTGTTGAGTACACAGGAGTATTTTTCTCTTGATTTCCCATCTCCATGCCAGAGTCATAGTGTTCAGTTTGAAAAGGCTACGATTGTGAGCGTAACATATTGTACCAAGATTACACATGAAAACTTTAGATTACAGCGCTTCAAATCCATACTTCCTGAACATTACACGTGCTTGTCTACCACTCCCTCCCCCATCATTATCAATTTCATCCATAAAAATTGGGATGGTGCAGGGCTACTGGTATTCTGTTCATAGCAAACGATCGTCACTTGCCTCCATATTGTCTCGGGACGGTATAGTTCCAGATATTTACAGTAATTCTCTCGGCAATAAGTTATACTTAGAAACCGGCCAGATTGCGCATTTCCTGTACTCTACCATTATCCCTCTATGCATTCATATATGAATAGCTGGTTGGTTGGCAATACATTTTCATCTGCACATCTGTCAGAAACTGGCTATGATTGTGAAATTTTGGGGCCAATTTCCTTCCTTGTTTCATTCACTCATTCTTTCTGTCCTACCTACTGTTCTTTGCCAGAGCAGGAAAATTTGTATTTTGAGCGTGGAAATTAAATCATGATTCATGATTTCAGAAAGAAAGTTTTAAAAGATCTTGCCTAGTTCTTAAGAGAAATCTTCAGTGTAAGGATTCTATCATGATAAAGGCCATTCTGAATGAGGCTAAAACTAAAATCAATAAATACTTGGAAGTCAAGTGTTATTCCAAGGTTCTAGCACTTGAATGTGAAAAAATGGAAGAAATTAGGGTACAGAGTGGGTGACTATCTTCAAGATTCATTTTCCTCGATTTGCTTTCTGTCTATGGTACGATGACAAATTGAATTATAATAGTGGCAGTGGCAAGGGGAACTTTTCGAATCATTGCCAGCAAGGGAAAGATATAGAGATGAAGAAAGGAAACAAAATAAATCTTGGTGAAAAAATAGGTATTATGAGTTGTTGGCAATCTCTTCAAACAGGCTTAAGCCATTTTCGACCCTCTAATTTTTACTAAATTTTAGCCACCAGAACCCCATTCGGATGCTATTCCAGGATCCTGGTGGGGGCCTGTGTAGCCCGTAGACTCCTGGTAGAATTTCCCTCACCTTTCTTCCTTGTCTGTTGGAAGCACTGAGTTTAATATTTTAGTTTTAAAAAATTGTATTCGCTAAGCCAATCCTGATCGCTTCCACGTGTCATGAACGGGACCCCACGTGCAGTGCCACTGTGCACAGAGGGTATGGACCGATATGCAAAGGGGGTAAAAGTCTGTCTGAGCTTCAGTTTAAATATGAAGATGATTTATAGGGTTGAAACTTGGTAAGCCAATAGTAGAAGAGGTCAAACTGAAAGCAAGCTGTTTCAGTTAAATGTAACTCCAAACTGGTGTGATCCTGTGTCTTAAAGTTAAGAAGGTTATTTTTTTAGCTGGGAGACCTTTGACAGTTTTGAAACCATCTGCCTCATATAATATATACGGATATCATTATTTTCTTGTAAAATTTATACATGTGCATGCAAATAGGAAAGCCGTTCTAATTAGATTCGAAGTAAGCATTATTTCAGAATAGGAGCCTAGTGCGTGGCTCTCTTTGTCAACCGGTGGGGAGGAGATCCTCTTGATTTGGACATCAATGGCATGTCGTGTGACTAAGCAGGTAACAGGTACTTCCCATTGGATATGAATCTGAATGTGGGACAAACTAACAGGGTCCAGGGAGTCCTGTTTCATATGACAGCATTACTGCTCTCATACACCTAGAAAATTGTAGTTAAACCTTTCAAATTAAGGTCATAGGTAAAGTTTTCGAAGGATTTGAATGAAAAGATTAAAGAAAACACAGTTTTCTTCCATGTTTACTTGGCATGGCAAGATTATTAATTGATCTGTGTTTCCTAAAGACCTAATTCATCTTTGCATCTTTCCACAGGTGGACCTTACGGCTTGTTTGCCGGCCATGATGCTTCGAGAGCCTTAGCCACCTTCTCACTGGGTGAGGACGCTCTGAAGAATGAGTATGATGACCTCAGTGACTTGAACAGCCTTCAGATGGAAAGTGTCAGGGAATGGGAGATGCAGTTTCAAGGTCAGCTTTTTATGTTCTTTTTAGGTGGTTAGAGAGCGCCACAAGTAGGTTTACGTTCGTTTCTTTCCCACTTTGTAGGTTCCTGTCTGTCTTACCGTTTTCCTGTTTGAAATGACTGTTATTGTGATGATGTGCCTCTCTTAGTCAAAGAAAGGAACAATTGTCTGCTGTGAACCGAACAGTCACTCTACTTTATATGAGAGTGTTTAACCCTGGTCCTGCGGGAGCCGGGTTTATGTCCCCTGATAAGCCTGGATCGGCACCTCATCTTCGTTCTGGTCCTGTGTCAGTCCAGCCCTGGCTCAACGCACCCGCGCCGAGCAACATCCGCGTGAAGACTGGGTCCCGTAATCCCGCAGCTGAAGTGTGTGTGTGGCAGTCTGTTTGAGTTGGGGTGCGTTTATAGCCTACTTCTAGAACCTCATTCGTTGGTTCGTAACTTGAGGTCTACGTCTTATTCGAATCACGCCAAGTTGATAGCTCAAGATGTTCGTCCAATGAAAATAGAACAAGTTGACCCACTTAGACATGAGGTGCTCACAAGGATAGTCAGGAAACAAGACTTCCATTTTTCTATACAAAATCGTTAAAATGAGCTTGATTTTATATAAAACTAGCTGGGCCCCTTTTCGATGAAAGGAACAATCAGTTCTTTAATATCAACTAAAAGTCATTGGTCTACTATATTTACACTCTACTGGAATGGGGAAATAAATTTTGAGAGAGATGCAAAAAATTAGAAGGTTTACATCTATACTCTCAAAACAAAATGCGTCTCGCGAAATATCACTTCCGGATTTTCTAAAATTACAGAGACAGAAGCGTCGGCCTACAACAGTGATCGGCGAAATAAAGAAATTTAATATTTTGCAGCAAAACTGTCTCAAAACTGAAAAACCCAAGGGCGTCATGATCTGGAGAATATTTTAAAGAATTTTTTGGCGAAAACACCATGTCGATCGATGCAGCCATTAAAAAGCCTTTTGAATAGCAAAATTCAGCCACCACAAATAGATAATAGATGATATTACCTAATAAAAATAAGCTTATTATGATGGTTTTGAATACCATTGTGCTGGTAAAATGAACAATTTGAGAGCAAAACATTTGGGAATTGGCCTATGTTACTCCCTTTTGAACCCCAGATCATTCGTAACAACAAGAGCGTTTAAAAAGGTTATTCAAATGGGCACAACTACTCATAATGTCTTATTAGCTTATTAGAGGGGGTTATTCATGTGGTCGTAACACTTTATAAATAGAAAGCTATAAAAGATAGGTCATTATTTTCATCATCGATTAAGACACTCCCATGGTATTCACGTTGAAAACACACATTTCCAGTGCGCTCGCTGTACACCAAAAGTACACGCTGAGGACCCCGGCAGCCCGCCGGGAACGTCCGGTGTAATAAGTTGTTGATAAGATTCGCATCTTGGCACAAGATGCAGGACAAGAGTTAAAGTATGATAACAGGCCTTACGTGATGACGATTTGCCATTTTTGTTAATCTTGTGTTTTTGAGGTTGACTCACTCACATACCCATCCCTTCCTCACTGCTGACACCTAACATGGTGATACTGTTGGTGGACTTTGGGCATATCATAAAATATTGAAATGTCAGACTGATTCACTGAACTATGCTACTTTAGAACTTCTTTGTTTTTCTTTTTTATTTATTTCAGAGAATTTGATGTGTATTGATGTCTCTTCAAAGCTCCATAGCTTTTCTTGTATTCCTTTATTTTTCTCAGAGAAGTACATATGTATGTTGGCGTTTCTGTTACATTGGTGCCAACTATTAAATATGTAAAAAAAAATGTTTACGTATGTGAGGGTCTTGAATATGGAAGTGCATTGTCATGTTGGAACATTTTCTCTGTTTCGAAGTATTGCTCCTCACAAACTTGCAGATGCTGAAGAACACTTTCAAGCCCGGAGTTTTTAGTAGTAATGAGAACAAAGCCCGTAAAAGTAAATTTGAGAGATCTTTTGCTGCAGGTTTATTTTGAATAGCTTGAATTGATTGAATGCAGTAAAGTGTGTAGGAAAGGGTTTAGTTAAGTTTACTTGGCCAGTGCCCACTATCTTGATCTGCCACATTGATAGAGTCCGTTCTTTTTTGGTTTTGAAAAATTGGCAGCTAATATGTTACTTACGGTTCCTTTGCTTTTCTGGGGGTGTTTTTTTTTTTTTTTGGGGGGGGGGGCTAGAAGATTGTATACCAAAAGCTTTTTTTTTTTAAGTGCACAAAAGCCGAACAAACTTTTATACTTGGATAAGGACCATAATCTTATCATTGAGCTTTGTTGGTGTTTTGAAGTGGTTGGGTTCTTCTTTTTCTTTCCTTTCAGTGAGGTATGTGTACAGCAGAACCTGTCCATAAGTCTCTCAGAATCAAACAGAAAAGTGACTGTTATAGACAAATAGCCTGTGATGTGGTCACTTATTACACTAAACAAAGTCAACATAATGGTTTGAATCTGAATATTTTTCACACTGTCTGAGGATAGGTTGGCAGGAAAATTTTGTAGCTAGGAGCAAGTTTTGAAGCCAATTTGTTGCAAAGTACTGAATGTAGCCTTGTTTAAAATGAACCATTTTGGTCAGTAAAACAAATTGGGAAAAAATGCAAGATTGTCACAGAACAGTGGCATTTAGTACACGTTACCCGCTCTAGAGAGGTAATGGTCAAGGCAGATTAAACTGTGTAATGATATTATTAATTCAGACCTTCATTATTTTTGTTTTGTTTTGTTTCAGAGAAGTACGTGTATGTTGGGAAACTGTTGAAGCCTGGAGAACAGCCCACAGAGTACAGTGACACAGAAGACGAAGAGAAAACAGAGACTGATAAGAAAGCAGACTGAGGATTCCACATTGGTTATTATATCAAGATTTTCATGTTGTTAGCCTTTCAGATTGAATGGAGCTGTGTGTCGAATAACAAGAGTACTTGATTTCATCTGATGAGAGTGTTTGTGTGTGTTTGAGCGAATCTCTTGCCTTTGATGGTCTCCATCAGACCTTTCATGTAGATAATATGCTTTCTGTTTTCCCCTTCAAAAGTGTTACTCAGTATGGGATGAATTGGCAGACATAAGGTCCTGAGTTAGATACCTTTTCTATACTATTTTCGTTTTGAGAGGACGATTTTCAATACTTTTTTTTTTTATACAAGCCATAAAATTAACTTCCATTTGAATAATATGTCTGCTTTTCTATTTGTTCTTTGTGGAATAGATGACATGTCTAAATGTTCAATACCCAGTTAGGCTGAAACAAAACTATTGCTCAAATAAAAGAAAAGAATATGATAATAGACAAGCAACCTGTATTTTTCATGCAGCCGCATTGTACTTCTCCTTGATTTCACAGAGTATAATGAGATTTTTTGTGCTGGCGAGTTTGGGTTTTGTGAAGATGTTTCCTTTGGTTTTGTGCTATTAGCATATGTGACTTCAGTGAAGTCTGTTCTTGTCTAATGTGTTCCAATGAGTGCCGCACGTAGGGACAAAAAGTTTTACTTTCCACTTGCTTTTGTAGTGTAACAGCTCAACTCTTTGCTGTTGCACAAAGAAGAGTTTGATTTGCTAATGGGGAGTTTAAAAAAAGTTATCGAGTATCTCCGTATACTGGGATGCTGTATCCCACTTCTTGATTATAGGTCCCAACAGGCAGAGTCATGAGCAGCCTGCCTCTTAAATGTCTAAGAGGACATGAAACATTTACAATTACAGTACAAAATACTCCTTTCCCTAGTTGCAGAACAAAGTTTTGGCAGTTTGTGTTAATTTAAGCCATTGATTTGCTTTTATATATAACATGTGTATCCTCTGAGAAATTTTTCGTTACATTGTTCACAGAACTGTTTAAACTATTGTGCTTGAAGTACATGTCATTGGTGGTTGCGACTTATTGCTTGCCTATGAACTGCCTTTTCACCCCCTGGGTAAATCTCAATACTTCTTTTTTTTTTTTGAATGGTAAAAAGTTCATGGTTCAAAGTCAAAGTAGCTAAAGAGAAACATGACCCAACAGGACAAGTTTCCTTTTTCTATAAATAGGACGGCAAAGTGTTTCAGAATAACTAGAATCTTTTTTCAAAAAACTTTATGCAGCTTATTGTTTTGTATGGCTTTGTGTTCCCTCAGATTTCATTTTGTTATTCCATAAGTGTTTTATATTTATCAGAAATAGGCATTTGTTCAAGGATGTGCATGAGTATCATGTGTTGGCAATGTTAATCGACTATGTTTGAAAGTGGTCTCCTTTATTGCCGATTTACAGAGCTGAAATTTTCATCGGAGTGCTTCCTGTTGTGGCAAGTCATGAAGTCTTATATATATATGAGTACCTACCATGAAAAGATATTTTGAATACTTGTTATTATGATAAATTCCTGATTGCATTTTTTTTTTCAAAATGCTGTTATTTTCTGTACATCGGTATATATTTCCTTCTGTGCAGAGAATGTACATGTCAGAGTATTTCTCTTTATTGTTCTTTATTTATTTGTATAAAGCGCTCACAGAATGTATGTTGGGATAAGAGTCTTTGTTTTTGTTCTATAAATTTGCATACTTTTATAGAACTTTAGAAAAAGACAATATAGCTGAGACAAATCATTTCTTTTTATTTTGTTTTACAAATTTGCATCCCTTTATGGAATTTTAGAAATTGCAAATATATAATAGTGCAGTTAATCTTGCTGCTGCTGCGGAGTCCTTTCTTCTTTCCCCACTTTTAGAAATTAGTATGTGCTAATTGAGCTTGTTATAGATTGTTACAATACCCTCCAATAAATATCTCCACACAGTAGCCTACCCGGCCATCATGTCCACCCCAGGAAGGTCTGCTGTCTTGCTTCTGATTAGTCTTGTCTCAAACAGGGCTGCATAATACAAATTTATAATACAGTAATACAGGTGAATGTCTTTGTCCTTTCCTCCACAGGATTCTCAATTACGCAGTTTCCCCTGTACGTAGATGATGTATTATTTCTAATACTTGTTTCACGTGCTTTGTCGGATTGTGCCTCAAGAGTCATTCCTGCCTCCTCTGGGTTTTTTTTAAACATTACTTGATAGTGGGGATTTTTCCGGAGCAATTCTTTTAAATAGTCAAGGGGGGGGGCTGCTTTTTTTTCCCGAAAAGGAAAAAATGTGAAATTGAGAATAGGGTCTCTTGTGAATCAATAACATTATTTAATGGAAAAATTTGTAGGGAATACTGGGACCTCAGTTTCCGGGCGGGGAAATATTTATCTGGTGTCTTCGTTTGTCTACTGGGGTTTGTATCCGACTCAACCTGAGCTGGCCCTGACAGCCATAGTTGCAAGTAGCCTGCATCCTAAATGATCTAAATTGTGTTGATAGGGATTAAAAAATTAATAGTTACAAGTGCTACTACTAATTTGTCATATCTCTATATCTCATGTGCGCTATATGATTATCAGTGCATGACCTGTGCAACTCTTTTTATATTTTTGAGGCCATGCATTTTTTCAGAATCAAGCTGCGTCGCTGCTGAGACACAGCACAGACTTTTGGTGTACTGTACCAAGCTTGTACAAAAGTTTCCCTGTATCTTAACATATATATTTATGATAATGATGATATGATGTACCTTCGGATGCAAAGTTCATGTAGGCCATATACATCCGTTTAAGGTTGAATTTCATTGCAAATTGTAGTGGCATACTTACAGAAATACTGCTCCTGCTGAGATGTGTTTAAAATTCTGGCACTTGGTAATATATATTGAGGATGGAAAGTATGCTACTTGAAATCATGATTCATCAAAATTCACACCTGTGCTTTTGGTTATTGACAAGGTAGTTGTAGTGCTTTGCATGGTTTGCTATTTCTAGTAATAATACAGTACCCAGCTTTTTTCTGAAACCAGGAGGCATTAGATTACAGTTACAGTGTTCATTGTGCTTTTGTCATGGGAGATGTAACATGTGTATCAAGGAAATGATGCCCATTGGTCAAAGGGATGCGTTCTTAATGGATCAGATCGGGTTGAGAAATGGCATTGGCCAGTGCTGATATAACTCAGTATGTCAGTTAGACCTCTGCTTTTCTTACTCGTATTGGACCTAGGTGTCTATTAGGACATATTGCATTCCTTCCATACAAAAGGTTTGATCCACAATGTCATGTGATGTGTAGTAGCGTGCTGATCGGCTGTTGGCTACGATTTTCATTGAATAGACCCGACTGTGACTTACAAAATCAAACTGTCAAATTGTGCAGTAATGTAGCTGTAGCCCTTTATTGAAGGAGAATCTAGTGACCCTCAAATGTATCAAACCATATCAAACAGGGATTTGACAAAACTTTCTGCAGTGTACACTGGTTACTATTAGTATCACGGAAGATATAACGTACCTTACATATTATGCACCATGGATCTACTTCCCTCCGATTTGTTTTGGGGAGAACGCACTGCTTTTGTTACAATGACATGGTCAAGAGGCTCTGTACTGTAGTGCTATATATAGTTCTTTGTTGTTTTGTAACAGATCAAAGTACTGATCACTGATATGTCAGCTGTTGGTGTCCAGGGCGTAGTATAGATGTAGCATGTTCAAAGTCCAAAGTATAGAATCAATGGACTTCTGCCTTCCCCATTTTATTAAATTTATGTGTAGTGGAGTGATTTATCAAAAAATGTCGTGCTGTTTCATGATGCAGGTATGAATGTTGACATTTTGATTTTGAAAATTTTTGGTCGATTTTGTAGTTTTTGAATACTGTTGTCTATTGTCAGGACTATGACTGTGAGTCTGTCAACTGTCAGTGAACTCTTAGAAAAGAGTTTCTGGTATTTGGCTTTGGAAGTGACCCATTTGGGACTATAAAAATCGATGGACTAGTATATTTTCAAGTCAGATCATAAAGGCTACTTGGTTTACCTATTGAGATTGAGATTTTCTCTTCCATTCCCCCCCCCCCCCCCCCCCCCCCAGCCTAAGCCTTCAAGAAATGCTTGAGCACAGAAAGGTAGAAAGGTAAAGGTCCTGCTCAGGTTGATCAGGTTAAAACTTGCAAGAGTTGAAGCCTTGTCTTGTGTTTCTAGGCACAACTGTTGCATCTGTTGAGTTCTTTACTTCGGTCACTTTACTTTTCTGATCAATATATGTCTATTATCATTTGTTATTGAAATTTATCCAGTTGCCAAATTTTAGCTCTGTGGTGAACTGAAGCAAAATTGGAATTATGTCAGTTTTATTTTTCTAAAATTTTTATGCTGTGACTTTCAATTTCAATTAATAAAAATTTCTTCACGCCTTATTGTTATAACCCATTGGGATTAATCTGGCCCGCAAAATCGACAGGTCTCATTAACTTATGGTGCTAGACAACAGTGATGTTGGAGGCTCACCTCTGATATTATTTTGTCTCTAACAGAAGAAAAGCCGGGTTTTTTCATCAGTGGTGGAAGAAAAAGGAAGTTATCGTTGGATGTGAAAGATATGCAGTGTGTGCTTGTGTGTACGTACCCAAGGAGAGGAGATTGTGCCCATAAAAGTCTTTGGAGGAAACTCAGAACTCTGGTGCTGATGACCGAGATTCGAGTCCAAAATGGGGTGTTCTTGATTTTGGGCAATTCTGGAGTTTTCTGATTTCTCCACCTATTTGGCTTGGTCCTATGGGAGATGGAGTTCAATTCGGAGGTCTGGCCTCTTGATTAATCTTAATGCTCAAAGGGGCATTACACCATTCAATCGCCAATTTAACTCGGTATTTCAATTGGCATAATGTCTGGCCATTGGCCAATATGGAGGACTGTGGGACGGAAAGATCTGTCTGTAGTAGTCTCACATTTGCTAAATTTATCAAGGGGAAATAATAAGTGAGGTCCGCTCTGATTTTCGTGCAAGACGTACAGTACTCCTGTGGCGTTGTAAAAAGTGCTTCATTTCATCAGCTTTTTTCTTTTGTTGTTGTTGCTTTCAGTTGCATATATATGCAGACATGCTAGAAATGTTTCATCATAAGAGTTTTTTGTTGAGGATTGTCTGATTTATTGGCTCTGCACAGCTATTTTTTATATGGTGCTCTTGTGACAATAGAGAAGTGTAGTATGGTAAACACTAAGAGATACTAAAAGAAACCTTTGAAATATTGTTATTGTCGGATTTCACATATAATCAGTATTTTCCAGCAGTGTTCCTTTGCAGAACTGATCAAAATGAAAAGGAGTTGGCAAATTATTTTGATTATTGAGTATGATGTTTTGTTTTTGTTTCAATTTTGATTCTACAGAATAACAAGAGTGAAGAAGAAATGAAGAATAATCATGTGAATCTGTCATTTATTGGAGATGTTCTCTTTTTGTAACAGTGACAATAAACATTTGACTATGTGCACTGTGATCCTGGTGATTTTTACTTTTGCATATTTTTGTTGTAATTGGAAGTTGACTTTGTGGGGTTTTTTTCAAAGATATGTATCATCAGTCATGGTCAAAGGATTCCATTTCCTTATCATCTATATATATAAAAGTAGACTAGGGAGGCTTTGTGCACAAACTCCTCCCTTATTTAATTACCTAACCCACACCTTTGAAACATTGCATCCATGTGGCTAGGACCTAACTTTAAAAAATCCATGCAAACTGCTTTCCTCAATTTTTCCAAAATGCTTTGTTTCGTCTGCACAGAGTCTTGGGAAAGTCCATCTTCTAAGGCGCCGTTGTAAGCAAGTTAGGTTTTCGTTCACTATCCGTGTGCACTGTTCCACATCTTTGAAATTCTGGAGTGTACAACCACAAAAGCGGAATAGAGAATTAATCTATACATCTAGATTATCTATTATTATATCTGGCAACTTGGAAACACGTGTGTCACTTTTCTCTCAAGATTTATTGCTCATTTCCAGTTGAACGTAAATGTAGTAGGCCAATGACTTTATGTTGATGTTAATGCACCGATCATTCCTTCCATCGAAAGGGGACCCAGCTAGTTATTCATAATGACCTAGATTTTGTCTGCATGGGAAGAAAACCAGCAATAATGTCACCTTACGAGGCAATGATTTCAAATGCAGAACTGAACCCAAACCATCATCAGCTTAGATTACAAATTACATTACTGTACATTTGTAATAATTATTGTAAATGTTTTATGCCCCCCCCCGGACACTATGACACAGTTTAGATATTTTATTTAGGAGGCAAGCTGCTTCGACCCAACCTTGACTGAGACGGATACAACGTCCCAACGGAAAGATGACAAAGATACTCTATAAAAATTCTTCCCACACAGGAATCGAACTCATGACTTTTGTGAGTGAAGGCAAAGCATATAATTGCTACCCCAGATGCCGAAATACATCACTGTGTCAGTCAAGCTTGTAACCAACCACACATCGATTTTCGTTGAGAGCACTAACTTTGCTTTTTTCTTTCTTTTCCAAAGACTTGTAGGTTTTAGCCGAGTTAAGAGAAGCACATCGGCATATAAATATATATATATATATATAGTAACAGTCACGTCATTTAGTAGTGTAGAGAAAAATAAAGACATACAGCAAGAAACAAGTGAGGAAAATGAACAAATAGGATCGATCAAGAATATCCTCAAACTGAACTTGGCACTGGTGTCTGATGTAGATCTAGCGGTTATCTTGTTCACTCTCATCTGTGATTAAATTGGGATAAAAAATCATTCTCAAGTCTTAACATTATGCAAGCTCAAAAGTTGGGTGACCAACTCGAACTGAATATAAAAGCCCATTAATACTGCAAACTAAGGGTCTGACGTGTTTCTGTTGATGTTAGCCGGGGGGGGGGGGGGGGGGGGGGTGTTTACAGCTTAGACTTAAAACATTAAAAAGTTGACCTATTTTCATCAACTATGATCAGCACCATACTTAAATTTAAATGCACCCGTATAAAAAACACAGTCCAGGGTCCACCGATAGACAGATAAGTACTTTTTGAGAGGATGAAATCCACAAGCTTACATTGATGTGGGGGTAGGGTGGAGTTGCTGGCCAAAAATGAGCAATGTTTAGGCCTCGTCACTGTAAATCATTTATTTAAGTAATCCTGTGTTTGTTCCCAAAGGCTAGAGTTTAGATTAGGATTATAATATAGGGCCCAAGTTTTAATAAAAAAACAACCCTATAAGTTACCATACAAAGTAAAGTTATGTTCACATTGGCAAATTCATAAATGAGCTAGAATTTTTAAAATGCATACAGACGAACGGGAACAAGCTATATGTACTTTGCTGTTGCATGTAAGAGACTCGAGGTAGATTCCCATGGGGGGGGAGAGCTCTTATTGAGTACATGTATCTCTTGGTCTTTCTGTTGGGAGGCTATCCTCATCCCAGGTTGGCCTTCAAAGTGATGCACAAACAGGCTGAAACCTGCCTCCAAGATGAGCTAAATTGTGTTGATGGGATTGTTAAAAACACTTACATTACAGAACAAACAAACAAAAAACCACTCACGCCAACATGTGGTAGTGTTCTTTTAATGAAGATTACATAAGTAGTGTACATCTGGCTGGGATCAGGTAAGATAAACATTTCCATTTGACGAAATTATTTACTGCACTTTCACCAATAAAATATTAACACATCACATTCTCCCTCTAGTCTCTCTCTCTCGCCACTCATTCCTTGCAACTAACATATATCGGCGGGTGCTCTGGTTTGGTTAGCTCCTTCTTTTCTATGAGTGGCGTCAGTAGTCTAGTGGTTAGGCTACTGGACTCTGGACTCGTAATTGTGAGGTTGGGGGTTCAAGCCTCGGGCCTGAGGTTATGTCCCTGGGAAAGGCACTCTACTGTTACATGAACTTTCCTTACTTCACCCAAGTGAGAATGGGTACCCGGCAATAGACAGCGAAAGATATGGTCAGTATGTTAGTGTTTTAGCGCCAAAAAGTAGAGGGAGTAGAGATTGTTTTACTCATTGTCCTGATCTCTCCTTCTTCTTTTCTGTGTTTGTTATTCTCGTAACACCTCTAATCTTCGGTACTTATTTGACCCTATTGTGTTGCAAGTGCCGTAAAACTCATACTATCACTGGCTTTTGTCATGGGAGAAGTAAAATATCCTGTACTGTAAACCTCTATGAACAAACACAAGGCACTTACGGAATGAAAAGAGAATGAAGTCTCTTACAATGAAAACATTTCATATTTCTGAAGACGAAACGGATTTGACCTCTCCTCTCACCCACCACTCGTTTTTAGCAGGCTTGGACCTTTGCTACCAAAAAAACCCATTTTAGGTGCAGTTCCGTAACAAGTACAAGATACTGATAACAACCAGGCAAAGACGACTCCAACATCAAGGGATACAGAATCATGACCATGCAGAACTCATATGAAAAAATCCTGGAAGAGACTGTGGTCAAAAGGCTGGCAATTTACCAAGAGAGGATAAAGCTCCTCCCAGACGGCCTTGGAGCTACAGACCAGGGACAGACACCTGCACAAACACGCTGTGCTAGCCTTTGATGTATTTGAAGGGTGCCAGAGAAAGGAGGAGACAATGATGGCTGCTATAGACCTAGAGGAAGCTTACAACTGAGTTGATTACAGCAAGCTCATATGGATCTCCTGATGGAAATCGATGTTGACCCCTGGTTGGTACAATGGATCTTCGAGGCTCTGTTTCAGAGGAAGCTGGAGCTGAGAAGTGGGCGATGGATGTCAGACCCATAGTGATTTCCTCAGGACTGCCACAAGGATCAGCTTTATCACCGGTCCTGTTCAACATATATATAAATCCAAAATTGCCAGGATTGGTGTAAGTGGAGCAGGAAGAATCATAACCTTTGCAGATGATGTGATGGTCTACGGACAAGGTCGTGATAGGCTAGTGGTTGGATGGATACAGGATGGACTGAGCAAGGTCGCAGATTGGTGTGAGGAATACAATGCAGTCATCAATCCGGACAAAGCACAGGTCATCTGGTGCTCACTCAACAACCGTATTGTGAAAGATCCTGCCCCTCTAATTGTGTTTGACCACCTTCTCATAGACAGACAGCATGAGTTGAAGTACCTGGGGCGTGGGATTAATCTGGACAGGACACTTTCTTTCCGAAACATATTGACAATGTTGCTGACAGGGCTCAGAAGGGCATTAATGTAGTGAAGACCTTGGCTTCAGCGGGAATTCAACAGAGAGTTTTTTTTCTCCTAATGCAGCTGATTGTTCTGTCAGTCATAGACTATGGCCTGGGCATCATCTCCCTGTCCAAAACTCAGATAGACAGGTTGGAGAGAGAAAAGAATGAAGCTATGAGGGCAGTCTAGGATTGCACAAAGGACACCCACGTTGTCTGTACGAGATACATTCTGTTTTGTTTTTGTAGGAGTTTTAAGGTGCTTGCAACTGCATAAGTGAGATACATTCTGGACCTGGCCTGCATCAGATTGAGGCATAAAGTGGCACAGGCAAAGCGGTACTTGAATGTTTTGGCAGACCCGAGGCACCCTTTGCATGACAACCTGAGCAACATCAAAGGAAATGAGATCAAATGGGGCAGTGGAAAGGAATGGTTTGAACTGAGCCCTGATTGCAGAAGCCTTGCCAACATTCACATCACTATGGGTTGTGAAAGACGGGAATGCGCTGCTGTCATTAACGACAATGACATACGACAGTTAATAGAGGAGCTCCCTAAGCCAGAGGACCCTGTGATCTACACGGATGGATCGGTCAGGAGGGGTGAGAGGAGTGACTGGGGTTTTGTGGTGTATAGTGGGAACAAACAAGTTCATAGCATGTCAGGGGCTATAGAAAAAAATACTTCAAGTATGTAAATGTAGATTGAGGCCATAACAAGAATGCTTGGCTGGCTTCAAAATGCAAGACCAAGAACTACCCATCTCATTATTGTCACAGACTCTCCCACAGCATCCTGCGAAGGGTTGAGAAAGGGCTGCTTTGGAGTGAATGGATAAACCCAATACAACAGACATCACTTAGAGCCATCACGTGGATATTCTGTCCTCGACACTCTGGAGTGAAGGGCAATGAGGAGGCCGATAGGCTGGCAGGCAGTGCCGTGGCTGATGGTGAAGTGAAATTCGACAAAGGAGAAGTGTTGAAGACCTTGGAGGAAAAGTTGCAGAATCAGGAAGAAAAGGAGAAGGCAGAACACCAAACAATCATCAGGATGCGGGAAATGGGGATAGAGATAGGAGAAGGAAAAAGGAACCATTATCTGGAAAGGAAAGATGTCACCATTATCAAACAACCACTGTAACAATTAGTGTGGATACCTAGTGGGTTTTAGTGCTGAGAGGAACAGAGCACTTATAGACCTGTCTGGTGTGCAATGGCTTTGTTGCCCAGGACAAGTAACGGGTAACAAGATACTGGTAATAAAAATACTGAAAAGAAGAG